ATACAATGAATAATATTCACCACACAAGTCAAAAATATAGTTATTAATATACAAATGCTACATACCGTGTGCTATTTCTATAGTGAAGTCTGCAAGAATATTTTTGGAAATATAAATGAATGCTAATGACATGCATTAGGAAATGCTTATTTTGGCTCAACTTAAATACCTTAAAACAGAGAGTCGTCATCTATTTGGAAGCAAGGGATGGTATCTAAACTGACAATTATATTGGCATCAGGTGACTATCATCATGTATTTTTAATCTACTTGATCTCCAATTTTAAACAGAACCCTACGTTCAGTAAGCACTTATGTTTGTTGGTGGCTGGTGATAAAAGGGCTATTACACAAGAAAAACTGCCATACTCAACTTATACATGGGAAATTCCAGAATAAACAGCGGAATTAATGTACATAAATGAGAACTAACCTGAAACTTGAAAAAAGAAAAAGGATGCTGCCTTTCTCAGCTGTGACTAAGCACATGGCAAACACTTGGGTTAGGAAAGACTTCCTGCTGATCACAGTGGAGGGTACGGTCCTGATGGTGCGGAATGCTCAGGATAGGAACAGCTCAATTGGCAGCAGGTGAGCAGGCGGGAAGCAGAGACAGGGAATGCCTGCACTCTGCTGGCTTCTTCCTTCCCACCTTTTCTTCAGTCCAGGAGCCCAGCGCGATCAGGGAAGACCTCTGTCTACTCTCTCTGGCAATGACTTCACAGACACCCAGAGGTGTGGCTCCTAGGCCAACCAAGCTGAAAATGAACCCTAACCAGCGCAACCACCATGGTATATGAATACAAGGAAAGCTAAGAAGACTCTTCCAGAAAAATATTTTTTTTTTAGAATTTGAGGAAACCCAATTTTTGTGTTTAAGTATTTTTCTTTCCATAATATTTAGTACTGACAGATATTCAAGACAGACACAAATTTATGGTCTACTACCTTTATATGTGGTACTGTACCAAAAATGTTTTCTGCTTAGTTAAACAACAGAGTTCTAGTATTAGATAGTACATGTAACAGAACTTGATCTGTAGTTACATAGTAGGTAACAAAACAATCCTATATTTGATATATTCATAAACAGATAAATGTATAAACATAAAATATCTAAGTTAAATATGTCAGTGTTCTGGTGCTGATAAGAGACACCAGGGCCATGGCAACCCTTATAAAGGGAGGCATTTAATTGCTTACTGTTCAGAGGTTTAGTGCAGTCATCATGGTGGGAAGCATGGCGCGTACATGCGGACATCGTGCTAGAGTAGCTGAGACTTCTACATATGGATCCACAGGAACAGGAAAAGAGAGATACTGGGCCTGCCTGACTTGGCTTTTTGAAAACCCGAAGGCCACCCCTAGTGACACACTTCCTCCAACAAGGGCATACCTACTTCAAAGAGGCCACAGCTCTTAATCCCTCTAAAGTAGTGCCACACTGATAACCAAGCATAGGAACCTTTGAAGGCTATTCCTATTTAAGCCACCACAATAAGTAATTATAAAAGGACTTAACACAGCAAATGTATTTACTCATTTTAAAAGAGCCATGGTTTATCAGCTTATAATAACAGGAGTGCTGTGCAATTAATTTTCATATTTAAACTATTTTGAGATGTTCTGAATTCCAATTGCATTTGCATTTTAAATATATGCACCTATATTCTATATAATATATTCCAAATATATATGTGTATGTATGTTTACTTTTCCCTCACCAACAATTAAATATACATAGAGTACTGTGTAAGGCTGGCAAGATGGTTAAAGTACTTGCTGACAAGCCTGACAGCTTTAGTTCCATACTCAGAATTCACGTGGTAGAAGAGAATTGATTCCTGCAAATTGTCCTCTGATATCCACACATGCACACCAACACCTCCTCCCAGAAAATAAATGCAAAAAAATAGGCTGTAACTATCACCAACATAACATTGAAATAAATGCCATATAAATAACAAATAAAGTAAATAACAAAACATGGTAATGCTTCCTGATAATAAGCCATCTATTTTATTGTAAGAATTTATATTAATTTTCAATAATATTTCATACTTAATTTTACTGTGTATGCAATCATGTCATTAAAAGTTATAAACTCTACCACTATGGAAATATATCTGTTGACTTCTTTAAGCAATGCTGGGTCTGGAAAGGTGTCTCAGCAGTGGATAATGCTTGCTGCTCCTCCAGAGGACCTGAATCTGGTCTCCAGCAACCAAGTTCCGTGACTCAAAATGGCCTATCACTCCATCTCCAAGGGATGTGACACCCTCTTCTGGCCTACACAGGCACTGAGCTCACATGCATAAACCCACACTCAGACATACACATACACACATGAAATCTTTAAAGCATGGGTAATTAGTTAAATGTCATCATAAAATGTGTTACGTGTCCTTGTTTAAGCACTTGAGTCCCACGTCAAAGAATGCTTAGGAGAAAAAAGTATGAGGAAGGGGAATAGGACTTTAAGAGATTTACATTCTACAATTTAATTACAAAAAAGTTAATATATGTATATTCATTAGACATATTAAATGAGCCTTCATAATCATAACAGGAAATGAGTGATTTATAATTTTTGTTCTTCACATAAAGTGAACAGCATTCTATGTAATAAAAAGTAAGGGGTGAGGATGCAGCTCAAAGAGTGTTTGTACAAAGCCATTGTTTCACTTCCCACCATTGGGCACGGTGATGCACACCTATGACTCTAGCAGTCAGCTTGAGGAGGCAGGAAGAGAAGAAGTTCTGGTCATCCTTGGCTCCATAAAAAGTTTTCAGCCAATCGGGGATAAATGTGAACCTGTTTCAAGAACAACACAAAAAAAAAAAAAGTAAATTGAGTAACACTAAGTTTTGTGACCAAAAAAAAAAGCAAAAACAAAAAACAGAACTAAAAAAAACCAAATACTTCAAATCCACATAATGCAATCCGCTATAAAAATACTTTATAGAAATACTTTAAAGAAAAATCAGCAGATTAAAATTGCACAAAATATGATATGTATACCCAGTTTAGTGGGATTTAGAATATACTTAGTTGCAAGAACCCATTTACATATATTTTCAATATGTATGGTGCACATATATTAGATTCTAAAGAGAATGTAAGTTCTGTATTATATTTCAATTCAACATTTCATTCTGAAGTTGCACACACACACACACACACACACACACACACACACACACACACACACACACACAAATGCCTAAAAACAATTAACAAGCATTCAGCTGTAGTTTCAAAGGTTTTATTGTACAGGTAAACACTGCCCTCTTCTGGCAATTGTAAATATTTATGTATCTACACAAATTTTTTTACAGCTTATTACTACAAATCCGTAAACAAAGTATGTTCTTAGCCTGAATCCTCCCCACCCGCCCCCAAAAATTCCTCACAATAATAAAGGAATTTATCGGCATGTTTCAAACAGTTATGCTTTAAAAGGACACTAAGTTAGGCAGTCTAAACTCTACAATAAATATGCTACTAACTAGATACTGGTTCTTAGATTAACTCTATAACCACCCTAGACCTTAGTTCCTATCTGTAAGATTACTTAACTAAGTCATTAATGGAAGTTCTTCGGCCTTCATGTTCTTCTAGATTTAGAAAAAAATCAAATAATTGCTTTTAAGACCCTAATGAAAAATATAGGCCTACTTATGACATAATCTCTATATTTATTTGTTTTATTAATAAGAGGACGACTGTTTACTGTTTGAATTCGCTTTAGAAAAAAAGTTCAATTTTTATTCCTCCCCGTTCAAACAGCCTTTCCCTAGAACAATACACAGCAATAGTTCACTGAATTAGAGGAAAAGTAAACTCAATCTGAGAAGTTTCAAAGAAACATTTTATAGTATTGCTTTTGATACGGGGAGGGGTATTAAACCAAGTGCCCAAACGGTTAACAGGAAAGAAATCAACTTTCAGAGACTCCAGAATCTTAAATGTTGCTGTGATAAGAAACTGGAAAAATTCCGCCGTTTGGGAGTAAAGAGCATGGTACCTCATCATTACCTATGCCAGCTTCATTCTCCTTCCTCGCCTGTCATCAGCCCTTGCTTCACAGTTTCTCTCTGGTGTGTCCCTCCCTATTCCACCTCTGCGGCAACTATGGAATTCAGGCTCTCAACTTCTCAAACACTCATGATATCTACAGTCGTCGATTGGTTGCAAAGTGTGGTCTGTGCACCATTGCAAACACTTGGGACACTTGGAAGACCCGCCATGTCCTGGACCCCCCATATGAAAACTGTGGCATGAATTCTATGTGCAATCTTACACGCTTTAAAAAAAAAAAAAAAACAAAACTCAGAAAGGAAGAGCATATGACCACAGAACGTAAAAGCAGGCTGGAAGGGGTTCGCGTGCGTGCGCGCGTGCGTGCGCTATTTGCAGCGAGGTCAGCTTCCTAACGTGCAGTGGCCTTCTCTCCATCCTGGTCCCCATTCTCTTATTTCTCCACAAAAGCCTCGTTGCCACACGAAACGCAGGCGCTCCCCAACTGGAAACTACCCAGGAAGCCGAGGCAGTTCTTCAGGGATATTGGGAGCACGGCCTTATTAGCATCACCCTGGGACTCTTCTAGAACACCTGGCCAGAAGCCCCAGAGCTCGGAGCTCGGCCCACTCTGCGCCTGCGCACGCGGTCCACCAGCGAGGGCGGAGCCAGGGCCGGATACGAGTCGCTGTGGGCGGGACTTAGGGGCCAGATCTCCGGCTGACTGGGTTCACAACGGAAGGCGCGCTTTAGGACCGAGAAGGCACGGACGGTCCCGAGCGGGTTCAGCGGTGTGGGAGGGACTTAGGGCGGAAGCCGGAAGCCTGGGGCGGGCTTCGGGAGAGATGAGGCGTTTGTAGGACGGCGCTGGGGCCGGAAACCGGCGGTGTGGGCGGGGCTCGGGCACGTTGCGCTTGCGCACGGCGCGCCCCGCGGTCTGCGTCGCTGCTTTTGAACCGGGTGGCGGGGAATAGCCGAAGGAGCCGGGCCGCCAGGGCGCTCGCAGCGACCTCCGTTAGATCTGGTGATGGCGCAGCAGCTCGCCCGGGAGCAGGGCATCACCCTGCGCGGGAGCGCCGAAATCGTGGCCGAGTTCTTTTGTGAGTTCCGAATGCGGCTCCCCGCGGCCAGAGAGCGGGCCTGGCGGGGCCGGGGACGCGCGCGAGGGCGGAACCGCCGCACGGCCTCCCGGGGTGCAAGGCGGCCGCCCTGGGGCGTCGTCCCTCCCGCCTCCCGAGGCCGGGTGGTGCGGGCGTCTGTTTACTCTCGGTGCGACGCGGTGAGACTTGGCGTTGCCGGGCTGAAGGGTTTCCGGTGTCGTCGTCTCGTGTACGTTGAGTAGACAGACGAGTGCAGCTTTATTCCTTTCGTTTCCAGCCTTTGGCATCAACAGCATTTTGTATCAGCGTGGCATATATCCATCGGAAACCTTCACTCGAGTGCAGAAGTATGGACTCACCTTGCTTGTGACTACCGACCCCGAGCTCATAAAGTATCTCAATAATGTGGTCGAGCAGCTAAAAGGTAATCACGCTTTTGAGTGTTGACGTCTTACAGGGCTGCATTTGTTAAGGGTGGCGCAAAGCAGTAGGCCTTCGGCAAACGTAGCGCTTCTGAATTGGGAGGGCGGAAATGATGGAGAGAAGTCCCATCCGTTCTCCCACTGCTTTTAAGTAAGCCGAATGTGTTGATGTTAGGAGGCTTGGAGTCTGGAGTGTCTTCTCGGCTGCTGTAGGGATGGATTTTGCGGTTTAAAGAGGTACAACAAATTGATGATTTTGCCCTTCTGAGACATGCATTAATATGTTGCAGTTGTTGTAACCAGGGTATTACTAAATAATGTACAGGAAAGCTTTCTGTTTTTACTTTTCAACTATTCTCATTATCTTTCTTAAAAGTTGTGGCTGTAATTCAATGTCTGAACTATTTATTTATCTATTCATTGATAGCTCCGGGTTGTACTGCCTGTGTGGCCAATACTCATTCCCACCTATTTTTGTTCCCTCTAGAATCCTTGTTTCTCGGGTTGCACATCACTTAGGATTGCCATTCAAATTATAACCTTTCTGTGTTTAGCCTTGTGTCTCCCAAAATAGTCTTACAAAATACCAATTCTGAAAGCATTTCAGCTGTCTTTTCTTTTTAGTTTGTCAGTCATTGGGTGTTTTTCCTGAGTTATGTCTGTATGTGCTAGGTGTGTGCCTGGTTCCTTAAAAGAACAGAAGAGAGAGTGTCCGTTCAGAGGAAAAGCACTATTGCTCCTAACCACTAAACCATTGTTCTAGCCCCCAGAAATTGTTTTTGTTAAGAATGTTTTAGTTTGTTTCTATTGTAGTTTCATTACAGTGTTCATTGCTTTTTTTTCCCCCTTAAGCGTTAAAATGACCTAATGACCTTCTTTTCTATTGTAGTTTCATTACAGTGTTCATTGCTTTTTTTTCCCCCTTAAGCGTTAAAATGACCTAATGACCTTCTTTTGATGACCAACTGAATATAGAGATCCCTTTAAGGCCATATTTTTGTTTGTTTGTTTGTTTGTTTGTTTTACTTTTGAACGGGGTATCTCAAAGTTCTTGACTATCCTGAAACTTGCTATTTTCATCAGGCTAACCTTGAGCTCACAGAGAACAGCCTCCCAAGTGATGGAACTAAAGGCATTCAACACTATACCCAGCTTAAGGGCAAACTCCCAAACATTCCTTGCTGTTAATATCCATAGTAGAATATCCACCAACACTTGTGCAGGTTGAGTATGAATTCACAAGCAAAAACAGTAGGATTTACGCTTTACCAATTTTCCCTATCTTACATTACTGGCATTTTGATCTGGATGTTTAGTGGGGAGCTTTCCTGTGTATCGTAAGGTAATGCAGCGCCATCCTGGCTCCTGCTCATCAGATGTCAGCTAACACATTCCTGGTGTGGCCATCCCATTGTTGCCACAGGTAACCCTGTAGATAAAGTCTCTTGGTTAAGAACTTCTTTGGTAGATTAGAATAGGAAAGGCGAAGTACTTGATAAATAATGTGGAGATAGATAAATCTCTGTTCTCAAGTGCAGTCAAGGTACATGCATGCTGAGGGGGGCAGCCCATCTCTCATCATTCTCCCTAATTGTGGGTCAGGGTGGAGTCATGTATGGTCATTAATTGTACATCACTCACTCATACTTGACTTGGAACTGCTAGATAGCTATGGCTAGGTATCATTGTCCTGTTACAATAGAGACGCCAGCCTTAACTAACACTGGGGTTACAGGTTGTCACAGGTGACATTTTACCCACTCACCTCTCCTTCCTATCTTAGTTAAAACTCAGGAATTACTCTTTATTAAGAGGCAAATTGCTTTTGTTTTCAGTCCCATTTCTTCTAGACTTTTTAGAAGTATTTTACTTCTTTTTTCTTGTATTTTCTGTTTCTCTGTTATGATTTCAATTCTTCCTGTTGGTTTCATCTCCCTCCAACTTTAATGCTCTTCTTTTGAGTATTTAAAACCTGTACTTCCCTCTCCTCTCCTTTGCAGAATTAATGCAAAAACTAAGCCTTCACCTACCAGAATGGGGCAGATTTTTTTTTTTAATGCTTTTATACTATCTCTCTGTTCCAAACAGCCACCACAGATGTGACATGGCAGTTGTATTGACAATTGTTTGATGAAATCCTATGCCCTGTTCCCTTACTGTGAGTTACAGAGAAAGTTCAGATTGCCCTCGGTTGCACCTATTAGTAATGAGAATTTAAAAATTGGCTAAATGATTAGTGGGGAACTATTTCCTTATGTATGAAAGGAAGTCCAAAATACCAGTGTATGCATTTTATAAAAGGCTGAAAAATAGGTCTTTAGAAGAGAGTTACGTTACAGTTAGCGCATAAAAGATGCCCTTTGTGTTGCAGAGTGGCTCTACAAGTGCTCAGTTCAGAAACTGGTGGTGGTCATCTCAAATATTGAAAGTGGTGAGGTCCTTGAAAGATGGCAGTTTGATATCGAGTGTGACAAAACTGCAAAAGAAGATGGGTAAGTACAAATTAAATTATTCCTGCTTGGTTTTTACAACTTCTGTTATTACATGAATTCAATTTGTTTGAACTGATTTCTTACGCACTCCTTCTATAGCGTGTTTTTAGAGATACTAGCTTGTGGGGGGCTTGAGTTCTTCTTAGCCTGTTAGTAGTTGTATAGATAAATGTCATCTTTAGGATAACCCAGTGAGATTTGACCTTTATTTCTGGTTATATCCACCCTATGATATAATATAATGTGGGGCATTTAATCAAGTGCTTGAAGGTACTTCAGTAGATGAGCCTGGACCCATCCCTAACTTAGATGTAGCTCTCCTTCATCTAATGCCATGAACTTTGTAAACATTGAAGATTTCAGTCATTCTATATCAGAAATACCCATTACACTAGGCACAATTTTCTGTAAGTTCCTGTAATGAAGAGCAGCTTGCTCTTTGATCTGTAGGAAATTTTTAGCTTATAAAAAAAAAATGTATGTGCAATTTATTTTACTTGATTTGATGAAGAATTAGGTATTTAGATACTACTTGAAAAATGCTAAAGTTCTACCAAGTTTGTGTTAGAATGCATTTCCCTTTATCTTAAAGAGTTACTGAAAATGTCATATTGGGAGTGGTTGAGGAACTTACTCATCATCATGCGCTGAATGACCTGACACTAAGATCAGCCCTGAAGGATAATGGGAAGAACAGATGCAGATGCAGGAGCCCAAGAATACCTTTAGCTATTAATCTTTAGTCTCCTAGTGTATTGCTTCTGTGTTGTTGGGAGCATTTGGTTCAGATAAATGGTCACCAGTATATTTTAGTTAACTTAATGGAACCTAGAATGAACTGATTGGTTCTTCTATAGTGTTTGTAGAGAAAAGTCACACAAAGCCATTCAAGATGAAATCCGTTCAGTGATCAGGCAGATCACAGCTACCGTGACCTTTCTGCCACTGCTGGAAGTTTCTTGTGAGTATTACACAGCCTCTTGACTTAAATTTGCTGGGGAAAATATATGCTGCTGTTGGGAGGATCCCCATTTGTTAAACCCCGTAACATCACTGGGATACAGGAAGCAGAATGCAGCATAAATAACACGTGTGTTCTTGAAAATGTGAGGACAAGGACCAAGGAGGTGATAGTTAAAGTACTTGCTGAGAAGGTCTGAGGACCGAGTTAGGATCCCCACCACCAGGGCCCTCCAGGTGGTTTTGGGTGCCCACCTGTAAAGAAAGGCAGAGATGGAGTCACCTGACCAGCCTGGCTAGCGAGCCGCGGGTTTGCTTTAGGACCCAGGCCTTAGTGAGACAAGTGGAGTAGCGAGCAGTCACTAGCTTGGGACCTGTGCTTGTGCGCTCCCCACACACACTCAAGAAAATGAAATGCTGAAAATTAAGACACTTACAGTACCACTAGAACATTTCCTCCTAATTCCTTTTACTGTTTTACTACTCTGTTCTATACTACTCAAGAAACTCAGGTTTTCTTGAGGAAAATTATAATTAGAGCAAGCTAACCTATCTCCTTAGGAGGGGTGGTTCAAATGAGTCCCGGTGAGACAGGTGGGGAGGACAGCTTCACTTTTAAAAAGTACTGCACTTTACTCTCATCCCCAACTTAGGTTCATTTGACCTGCTGATTTATACCGACAAAGACTTGGTTGTACCTGAAAAGTGGGAGGAATCAGGACCCCAGTTCATTACCAATTCTGAAGAAGTTCGTCTACGCTCATTTACTACCACAATCCACAAAGTGAATAGTATGGTGGCCTACAAAATCCCTGTCAGTGACTGAAGAGAAAGTGAGGAAGCAAAGGAATTCGCATTCTCAAGTGTCTTTTCCCACATACGAAGTCAAATATAGTTGATGAATGTTCTTCCCTTGGTTCGTTTTCAGGTGAAGAAAGCCAGGATCCTACTTTGATAGATTTGCCCATTGTTCCATTTCTTGGGTTCCTCCTGGACTTGCCATAGAGTCAGCATAACAAGATTGCTGCCAACAGATTTTGTCAGAATTGTGGAGTGGATTCTTTTAGAAGTGGTCATTGTAGATAGAAATTTTTTTGTTAGGAAGCTAAATGCATCTTCTAACCAGTTAGCTCAGGAATCTTGACCAGAGATGCATCTGAATGTAAACAGAGCAGAAGGAACTGAAGCTTTGTCTAGTTCTGAGTCATGAATGCTGTCTTACTGGGCCCATTTGTCACTTGTCTTTGTATAGACCCATATTGAAATACATGCTAATGGTTTGATTGTAGTGTATATACCGTGAACTCACAAAGCAGTTGATACTGTTTAACTTTTGTAATAAAGAACTCTTGTTTTGTTTTATAAAAAATAATCTAGCTTTAAATGGCAGTGATTAAAAAAAAAACTTGTGTTTTAAATTTGTATTATAGTATCTGTGGTAAATAGTGTGGTATTCATATAGTCAGACACTGCAATGGATTGAGTGTGTGGATTTGATTATATGCTACCTTCTTACTACAGGGCAGTTAATGTGAAGAGGTGAATGTCCTTTGAAATTAGTTCGGATATCAAGCTGTTTTATCACTGGGTTTTTGGTTTTGGTTTTTTGGTTTTGGTTTTTTTCCTGTTGTATACCTTTAATCAAAAATTGTCATATTGGCTTAATTTAATGACATTTCAAGTAAAAACTGAAATGGGTAAAAGACATTATTATTAAGTATTTTCTGTGCTAGCAATTCAGTGATTAGATGGACTCCACTGACATTTCTGATGTAGAGAGACAATTTGGGTTGTGAATAGTAAGGACAGTAGTTTTGGTAAGTTTCAAGTTTTTTCCTGTCCATAAATTTTGTTTCCCCTTGATTGACATGTACTAACAACAGCAAACAAGTTGGAGTGTTTGTCAGGCAACAAGACATTTGTGAATGTACTACAGATTTAACTACCCTGGACAACAGACTTCAAGACACATACTATCATTAACTCCCAGTCACAGAGAGCATGCCATGCCGAGGGCTCAGGTCCAGAGCCATGTAACTCAAGAGCAGGTGTGAGATGCTATTCAGTTTCTCTAACACAGCAAAGGACTGCAGTAACCAGGAGGAAATGGGTAATAGGCACAGCCAAACATGGTTACTGTATTAAGGGTGCAGGCACCATGGTAATGGGCAGTGTTCTTGCAGGGCTGATGGTTTCCTTAAAGAATTAAATCAGTACAATTTGCTGTGTTCTTTTGTCTCCTGGAAATCAGTTAAAATAGGATCAAAATGAAACACTTCTGATAGAATGATTTCAACTATTTTAAGAACAAAAATACAGTTGTTCAGTCCAATAAATATGCTCCCTTTAAATTAAATCTGAAACTATCCATACACACACATGCTTGTGACTGTATACATTAAATCACATATTGTGAATGGTGATGACTTGCTTTTGGGATGGATTTTATATGGAATAATTATCCAAAAATTTTGAGCTAAGAAGGGCAGACAAAGAGCTGAGTAATATTAAAAGTAATTTTTGACTAAATATAATGAACTAGCCTTTTAAACATTCGGGTAGCAGCCATGACATTTATTTTCTCTAGCAAAGGGGTCCCACATCTTTGAACTTGAATTCTGTAAGGTGAATCTGAAGTCCTTCCTTCAACCAACCAACCATTTATTTCTGCTCCCCTTCATTAGTAAGTTATAAGTTTGGGTCGTAATTTTCTTTGTGCAAACTTTGCCCTATTTTCTGGATTGTAACACTTAAATACCAGTGCCCTCAAACAGGATGATCCAGTGTGTCTTTGAGCTGTTCAGTAGTGAAGTCCTGCCTTCGTTAACAGCTCATCAGAAGTGCTTCATTCTCATGTTTGTGGAGTGAACAGTCATTTATCCATTCAGTCCCAGAATGGCAGAGATTCATTGCTGTACAGTCTACAGTATTAGCATCCTACTATCCACTACTGCCATCTGCTGGTGTTGCTGTGAATAGATTTCAGAAAACATTGCACAAGGACCCGGCACAATGATGCAGAGTGCAAATACCAGTAAGTAGTATCCGAGAGCAGCAATGATGAATGAGAAGCTGATCATGGCACTCAGTGGTTGACTATGAACCAGCAGCAGGTGGCACTGGCCCTCAGCACCCCTGACAGGAAGCCTCTGGATACAGCTTTGGCCTATTTCGTGGCTACACAACAGGCCACAAAGTAGACTGACTATACTTGTAAGAAAGATGCCGCTGGGGTGTGCAAATCGTAGTCCAAATCATACTAACTAGCACCTGCGTATACTCTCATTTCTTTTGCTGCGGTCCTTGATGTAAATGATTGGCACAAACATATCCATAGAGTACTGCAGATAGCACTGCAAGGCTGGAGCCCACAATGCAGTGTGGTTCATGGTAGGAAGTCTATCCACCTAGGAGGAAACAGCACAGGCTCTGTCATCGGGGTTGTCCATGCTGCATGGGTTATTCGGAATTTCACTTTCAATGAACAAAACCTTGAGAGCAGTTACTACTGACAGCCCAGCTCCCAAGTTACTCAGCATGGCGTTTGTTACTTCTGCATCCATCCTAATCCAGCCAAACCTTGAGCTTGCCCAGCCAGTTTAGGTATTAAATAATGATCCCCAGATGAGGATCCCAAAACCTAAACTGAACTCCTGTTGCTGAAATGCAGCCGCTGAGCATTGCAACAGGCCAGAATTTAGGGCAGCATGTATCAAGTTGACCACCAAGGCAACCAATCAAAAGGCAGCTCAGAGCACTCACTGAAGGAACATTCTATCACAAGTGTCTTTTTTTTTTTTTTTTTTTTTTTTTTTTTTGCTACAGCAGAGGAATGTAGCCCATGCTAAGTTTGTTCCATTATTGCTCATGGTAGCAAGGGTGGCAGACAGCAAACTCACTCTTTGCTCTGAGAGTTTTCCCAAGGAGTGACAGTCCTCAGACACAGACGACCTGGTGGGTTCTCATGCACTGGCTGCAGAGCCCACGGCTCCTCCTAGAATCCCCTGTACGCTAGTGTCAACCGCATGTTTCTTAGGACCTTGAGCACCACGCTTAATTCCTTTGCCTTCAGTGCTACCCTTCATAGGTGTGTTGGTTCTGTTAAGTCTAATTTTCCAACATTTAGAAATTTCCAGAAAAGTGACAGCTTTGTTTATAATAATTTTGAAGTTTCTATCTAAGCTATGTCAAATCGTATTGTTAGAAGTTGATCATATACCTTAAACATTTCATATCTCTTAAAGTTTTTATATCGTTTAAATATATGTTTTGCAGTCTAATAAGGAGTCAAGCTGACTTTGTTGGAAATTAGTTGAAAAGATTTGACCTGTGGTTCCAAATAGATATGTGCCTCATCTTGGGAGAAAGGGATTCCATCCAACAGCCCAAAAATTGGCGACCAGCGTGTACGCTGTGAGAAGTGACGATGGAGCAATAACCTGGTGGGTCTCTGGGTCAGGCATGAACTCTCACCCATTTTCTGTAGGGCTAGAGGCTCTACTGAAGCGTGCAGTGGGAGGTCTTTGTTCACTGTGGTTTGTTCTTATCATTATTTAGAGTTTTTTAAAAATATTTTATAAAAGTGTGCCCTTGTTTACTTAGTTTTATGATACATCTTCAAATTTTGTGTTCCTAGCTTTATTCTCCTGGCCTAGACCTGAGACAGCAGTTCTGATTTCCAGCTTTTGTCAGCAGAGGGCAGCCAAGACATTTGTCAGGGTCACCTTCACTTTGTGGAGACAAGTTTCCCAGAGTGACGGTAGCCTGGGGTGGAGACTAGAGGGAGCACTGAGCAGAAATACTCAAAAGGGAAGATCCACCGTCCACCGGAGAGAGAACAAGTACATAGACCTTCCCAGCACCTGCCCAGCTTTCAGGGCTCACAGCGCCACCTGGGGGAAGCCCCAGGGGTGGGGGCCTTCAGGAAGCCGTAGTCCACTGTCAATCAAAGGAGCTGCTGCTAGTCCAGGCCTGGAATTGAGGACGCTGCCACCTGTGGCCAAAGGTTCACAGCCAGAGAGAGGGGGGTGAGTATCAAGGACAAACTTACTTCCTGTTGTAGGTATTTATTATTCCAGAAGAAAATAAGAAACTAGAATTAAGGAAATTATTTTGATTTTATGTCAATTTTTTTGTTTGCTTGAGGTTGTTTTTTTGTTGTTGGTTTTTTTGTTTTGTTTTGTTTTGTTTGAGACACAGTTTCTCTGTAGCTTTGGAGCCTGTACTGGAAATAGCTCTGTAGACCAGGCTGGCCTCGAACTCCCAGAGATCTGCCTGCCTCTGCCTCACAAGTGCTGGGATTAAAAGCTTGCCCCACCAATGCCCATCTTATGTCAAACGTTAAACATTTAACGTTGGCTTCACTGGCCTACATTTGTCTTTATCTCTTGAACTTGATATTTGGTAAAAAGCATGTTTCAACAACAAAAGTCAAGTGGTCCGATTTGTCTTAAGGATTACAATTCTTAAACCCTGCTTCAGGTCGTGGGAAGGCAGGAGGCTGTAGAACAGATATTTATAACCCTTCTGAGTTGAGCCTCTTATTTTTCATTGTTAAGGCTCACTTGGACCGTCTGTTACCTCCACGAGCTCCCTGTTAGGGTCTCTCCGGATTTTATGTGGACTGCGTTTTCTCTGCAGCACAGCTAGTCCCCTGAGGCTCTGTCTAGGCGCCCACAGGGGATTAAAGGGGGAAAAAAAAGACTTCTGTGTTGTGTTCCCTTGGAGTCCTGTGTTCTGTGTTAATATCTGTCTACTACCTATCATAAATAAACATTGAAAAGATGACTGTTAACAAACTAGACAGAGGCCCTCACCAGAATCCAAACATGGGGCTGCTTCTAGCCTCCACAGTGTAAGAAACAGTATCTGTTCTGTTATCAGATACTGTGGGTATTTTGTTATTGCCAATAGAGCTGACCAAGAATTAAAGCCAGTCAGTCATTCATGAAAAGGTATTTCTAGGCCTGGCAGCACTCAGAAGCAAGAGACAGGCAGATCTCTATGAGTTCGAGGCCAGCCTGGTCTACAGTGAATTCCAGGACAGTCTCCAAAGCTACAGAGAAACCCTGTTAAACAAAAACCAACTGTTTCTAAAAGAAATAACAATGGGAGGCTGGAGAGATGGCTCAGTAAGAGCACAAGCTCTTGCAGAAGAGCACGGTGCCTCACAGCCCTTCTAACTCCACCTCCAGAGGAACCAGTATCTTCTGACCTCTGGCATTGCCCACACGTAGTGCACATACATACAGGCAAAACATCCATCCACACTTTTTTTTTTTTTAATTTTAAAAACAAGTTTTACTGACCTTTTTTTTTTCTTTCTCTCCAATTCTTTTATTGAAGGAAAATAACAC